TCCCTCAGCCTCCCGAGTAGCTGGGATTACAGGCATGTGCCACCATGCCCGGCTAATTTTTGTATTTTTAGTAGTGACAGGGTGTCACCATGTTGGCCAGACTGGTCTCGAACTCCTGACCTCATGATCTGCCCACCTCAGCCTCCCAAAGTGCTGGGATTACAGGCGTGAGCCACCGTACCCAGCTTAAACTTTTGTCACAGCAAAACCAGGAAGGTTGGAGGGTAGGAAGACCACCGTGCATGGTTAAGGGTGATGGGAGAGGAGGGCAAGGGTCAGGTCTCCAAGAACCTCAGATGCCAGCGTGAGAGGCTGGGATCTTCTGAGGGCACTGGGGAGCCATGGAAAGTCTGTGAGCCAGGACAGCCCTGGGGCTATGTGCAGGATGAACCAGAAGGGAGACACTGGAGGCTGGGATTGGGGAGGAGGTTGAGGTGATGGTGCAGGGAGAGAAGATGAGGGTTGAGGTGGGGCTGGGCCTGGGAGGGCTGGAAAGGAAGGCTGGATATGAGTTCACCCTTTGGAGAAGTTTGGCTGGGTGGCATTGTCACAGAAGGAACAACATGTAGAAAAACCTGGGGGTATGAGGACACCTGTGAAATGTCCTGGATGGTGGAGGCTGGAGTTTGAGGTGGGAGAAATGAATGACGTGGCCGGAAATGTAGGTCAGCGGAAGATGATGTCACTGAGAGCCAGGCAGAAGAACTTGGACCCGATCCCGAGGGCCTGGAGAAAAGGAAGGACACAGACAGATCTGGGCTTTAGAAAGACCCTATAATCTTTGTCTTAAGAATCAAAGAAATGCAACATTTTATCATGGGGACATGAAGACTCAAAGAAATGCAACATTTTATCATGGGGACGTGATGGAAGGAAGTGGCTGATTTGTGAGCTGATGGAATTATGAAGTCATGTGAATGGCCTGGGCCCCCCTTGACCAACCTTCTCTGGACAAGCTGTGAAATTCACCAGGGTCACCAAGAGGAACCCAGTCAATGACGGTCAAGACCAAAATCAGCAGCAGTTAATTGAGAGAAAATTGGCTTTCTTTTTTTTTTTTTTTTTTTTAACGGAGTCTCAGAGTTTCACTCTGTCACCCAGGCTGGAGTGCAATGGCACAATCTCAGCTCACTGCAGCCTCTGCCTCCCGGGCTCAAGCAGTTCTCCTGCCTCAGCCTCCTGAGTAGCTGGGATGACAGGCGTGTGTCACCACACCCAGTTAATTTTTTTTTTTTTGTATTTTTCTTTTTTAGTAAAGACAGGGTTTTGCCATGTTGACCAGGCTGGTCTCAGACTCCTGACCTCAAGTGATCCATGCATCTCGGACTCGCAAAGTGTTGGGATGGCAGGCGTGAGTCACTGTGCCTGGCTTGAAACTGGCTTTCTGAATGGATAATAAGAATAATGATAGTCATGACAACAATAATAATAATAATAATTTAAAATACACTTATCAGCACTTGCCGGGTACATATATTAACTAATTTGTGCCTTACATATATTAACTAATTTGATCCTCATTGCAAGCCTGTGAGGTGGATACCATTATTGTTCCCATTTTACAGACAGGGAAACCAAGGCACAGAGAGGGTCCATGGTGTGACCAAAGTCTCACAGATAGTAGGTGGCCGCACCAGAATTTAAATGCTAGGGGCTGGTGCCACAGTTTGGGCTTCTAACCACTTTTCTGTACTGAAGTGTTCTTGTAATTCTAATATGTTTTGGAACTGAGCATTAAAAGGTTTAGCCATCCAACCCTTCATATGAATTTTATTTTTTTGAAGCAGAATCTCTACACTTTCGGTATTTTAGGTGATTGTGAGTCTAAGAGAATTTCACCTGTTCTAAGGAAAGCCTTGTGACTTCAGCTTTAAATGTGTAATAATTGAGCTGTGATTTTTAAGATGGCGTCACACCAAGTTAATATCCAGCATTGGGATATCTGAAAGAATGCAACATGGATCATATTTATGAGTACATCTGTACACTCAGATGTACAAACTCACTTCAATGCTTTGGAAGTGTTTCCTAAAAATCAAGGGACTTCCAGAAGAGATTGAACGTGTTGGTTTTAGAAATGTAGTTTAAAATGTCTGAAGGTGTTTAATGAACTTAGTTTGTGAATAGGACCAAACATTATTATAAGGACCCCATAGGCCGGGTGCGGTGGCTCACACCTGTAATCCCAGCACTTTGGGAGGCCGAGGCGGGCAGATCACGAGGTCAGGAGATCGAGACCATCCTGGCTAACATGGTGAAACCCCGTCTCTACTAAAATACAAAAAAATTATTAGCCAGTGTGCCTCCTGTAGTCCCAGTTATGGAGGAGGCTGAGACAGGAGAATCGTTTGAACCCAGGAGGCAAAGATTACATTGAGCCGAGATTGCGCCACTGCACTCCAGCCTTGGCAACAGAGCGAGACTCTGTCTCAATAAATAAATAAATAAATAAATAAATAAAAGCAACAGATGTCTAAAAGTAAGAAAAAAAAAGATTTATCTAGACCAAAATGGGTTGTAAACAACTTAAAAGACTAAGGAAGAAGTAGGTCACTGGTTTTGTCACTTAATTAATTAATTAATTAATTTTGAGATGGAGTTTCACTCTTGTCTCCCAGGCTGGAGTGCAATGGCGTGATCTCAGCTCACTGCAACCTCCACCTCCCAAGTTCAAGCGATTCTCCTGCCTCAGCCTCCTGAGTAGCTGGGATTACAGACGTGCGTCACCACGCCCGGCTAATTTTTGTATTTTTAGTAGAGACAGGGTTTCACCATGTTGGCCAGGCTGGTCTCAAACTCCTGACCTCAGGTGATCCACCCACCTTGGCCTCCCAAAGTGCTAGGATTACAGATGTGAGCCACCACACCCGGCCATGGTTTTGTCACTTTAATGAATGAAATATTAATTCTCGTAATCAAAATAGACCTCAGAATAGGTTTTTGTTATTTTGGGTTTTTTTTTTTGGGGGGGGGTTTTTTGCTGTGCACTAAAACCAGTCTTGAGTGCTCTAAAATCTCCCCTTTAACAGAATTACAGATGTGAGCAACACAGCTTGGTTTGTTTTTTACCCTCAAGGAATGAGGGCTCAAAGAGGACAGCATGTTCAGGAGTCTTTGTCATCTTGTTCACGGACACCTGAGTCTGATTGTTCACGGACACCTGTGTCTGGCACATCACAGATGAATGTTTAGTTAGTTCTTACTTCCTAGTGAGGACAGAGACAAGGAGACATGAAGACAGATGCAAAGAGCTGGCAGCAGAGGGAAAGAAAAACTGGCGTAGAGACAAGGTCAGGAGAGGCGGCCTCAGATGGCCTAGGAGTGGAGAGGGAGAAGCCACCTTTCGGGTTCCCCACCCAATACCCATTTACCAAGCCATCTGCCCGTTTCCTGGCCTCTTGATCTATTTTCCCATCAACAAGTAGCCCTGCCCAACGTTCTCACCCATGCCTGGCCACAGCAGCCGAGCCACGGCACCTGCGGGTTCCCAGACTGGGAACCTCTTTCTGGGCCTGCCTCTTTCTGGGCCCAGAGTGAAGGCAAGAGAAGGAGTTGAGGGCTCCCTGTACAAAGTGGCTTGAGTCTTCCCTGCCCAAAATGCAGGGAGAGGGAGGCAGAAAGACAGGGAAGGAGGAAGGGGTGGGGAAGAGAGAGAGACAGAATGATACAAATACAGAAACACAGAGAAAACACACAGAGAGCCTGGGACAGAGGGGCACACAAAGTCAGAGAGAAAAGAGAAGATACAGAAAGATACAAAGGGAGACACAGAGGTGTAAAGAAAGAGAGATTAACAGAGAGTCCCACATACATGCAAAGGGGCAGGAGCACAGTTTTCAGGGTGGTGTCTATGATCATCCTCTTGATTATGGTGATGGTGTGACAGGTACCTAAAGCCATCAGACTCCACCCTTTAAATATGCAGTTTGGGCCAGGCATGGTGGCTCATGCCTGTAATTCCAGCACTTTGGGAGGCAGAGGTGGGTGAATCACTTGAGGCCAGGAGTTCAAGACCAGCCTGGCCAACATGGTGAAATCCCATCTCTACTTAAAAAAAAAAAAAAAAAAAAAAAATCAGCCGGGCATCGTAGGGCACCTGTAATCCCAGCTACTCCAGAGGCTGAGGCATGAGAGTCGCTTGAACACACAGGAGGCGGAGGTTGCAGTGGGCCGAGATCACACCACTGCCCTCCAGCCTGGGCGACACAGCAAGACTCTGTCTCAAATAAATAAATAAACAAACAACCAGTTTGTTATACCTTAGCTATACCTTAAAAAAAAAAAAAAAAAAAAAAAAAGCTGTCAACAGATAGAGCAGAAGTGAAATAAAGGAAAATAAATGGACTGAGAACTCTAAGGTATATTTGACAAATCACTCAGAACCTTTAAAAAAGAGAGAATCACAGAGGCATAGAGAGACAGAGAGCGAGGAACGGGGAGACAGCACCACTTGTGGCCCAAGGAGAGAGAAACAAGGCTCCTAAGACAGACAGGAGAGAGAGAGAGAGAGACAGCCAGAGAGAGAGAGAGAGAGAGAGACAGAGAGACAGAGAGGCGAGAGGGAGAGAGAGAAAGAGGGGTGGGGTGGAGAGAGACACGAGATATTGAGAGAGACTCAAAAAGACAGCCCTGGGAGAACCACAGAGCGATGGAAGAAGACTCTGGAAAAAAAGAAAAAAAGAAAAACACAGAGACAAAGATGGAAAGAGGAGTATGGAGCGGGAACAGACAGTGGTGGAATGAGCAAAACGCAGAGAAGCAAGCAACAATCCAGGCGCCGGGAACAGTGAGTGACACAGAGTTGGTGAGAAGCCAGATCCCTAAGGCTGGGGGAGGCAGGGAAGGGGCTGGTCTGGCTTCCGGAGACCCCTCCCCATCCTCTGAGCCAGGGAGGTAGGGAGTGGTATTCGGGACGGGGTGGGGGGTGCTCTGGGGGTGGAGATGGGGGGAGCAGGAGGAGCGATTGCTAAGGCCCAATAGGCACCTCATGGCCTGGGAATGTGCCCCAGGGAGCAGTGGGTGGTTATAACTCAGGCCTGGTGCCCAGAGCCCAGGAGGAGGCGGTGGCCAGGAAGGTGCAGGCCTGAGAAATCCGCGGCTGAACTGGAAGCGAATCCCCCACCCCCTACCTGGGGGACAGGGCAGGTGAGACCTGGGGAGGGTGGCTCAGCAGGCAGGGAAGGAGAGGTGTCTGTGCGTCCTGCACCCACATCTTTCTCTGTCTTCCCTCCTTGCCCCGTCTGGAGGTTGCTAGACTCCTATCTGCTGAATTCCATAGTGCCTGGGTCTCAGCACGGTGCTGATGGCGGCACAGCGTCTTGTGCTTCCTCTCCACCTGGGGAAATAAGGTAGGGGAGGAAGGGGAAGTGAGTTAAGGGCTCCCGGGATCCCCTGGGCCTCCCAACCATCTGACATCCCCCATCCAGGTGCAGCGGCCATGGCTACAGCAAGAACCCCCTGGATGTGGGCGCTCTGTGCTCTGATCACAGCCTTGCTTCTGGGGGTCACAGGTAACCAGAACTCTGGGGTGGGGGGGGGCGTGGGATAGGGAGGACTGCCTCTGCGTCACTAGAGTGCCTGTCCCCTGGGGAACTGTGTGAGCCTGGGCGTGACTCCGGGACTGGGTGAATGGGAGTCTCGGTCTGTATTTGTGGTTGTGCGATTGTATGTGGCCCTGTGACTGCCACGGTGTGTGTCGGGGAGGGGGATGCCTTTTCCCATATCAAGTGACTGTGCGGCAGGTGGCACTGACCCTTTGAGGCTGTATGTGTGGTTTTGTGATTGTGTGTGCATTTAAGATTGTGTGTGGCTCCACAGTGATGTGGGTGAATGCATGTGGCACTGGGGGTGTTTACTGTGTGTTTGGCTGTGTGTGGCGACTTGGCTTTGTGTATGACTGCAGGGATCTGCAGTTCCTGTCCCTGAGGTCCCGGGATTTCGTGCAACAAAAGCGGTCATCACCATGGAAATGTGTGACTGTGTGCTTGCAGGTGATTGTGTGATTGTGGCTGAGTGCGGCATTATGGGTGCTTGTATTTGTGACCTTGTGACTCCCTGAAGCTCTATGTAGGGTGACTGTACGTGACTGTGTGTGTCTGTGTGAGGCCGTGTAAATACTACGGTATGTGTGATGGTGCAGCTGTGTGTCTGGAGTTTCTGTCTCTGCCTGGAGGGATAGAGGGTGCAGGGATGGCTGTCTCTGGGAGATGGGTGCTAGGTGACCGACTTGAGGTGTGTGCCTGTGTGCAGAACAGTGTGTGGCAGTCTGAACATCTATGCAAACATGGCATCTTTGCATGCACTGAGACACTGTGGATGAGGGTGTGCGATCCCGCAAGGCTGCCCAGGAGCATATGTACCTGGTGAGCGTGTGTACCTGGAGACAGAGCTGTACTGTCAACTGCGCCTGTGGAGGCAATGCGTGCCTGTCTGCAGAACCGCGTGCACGCTTGGAGGTTACTGCTGTTGTGTGCATGGTTCTCCGGGTGAGTTTGTGAGTGATGGTGGTGCCAGGGCCATTAGCAAGGGTAAGATCCAGGCCGGGCGTGGTGGCTCACACCTGTAATCCCAGCACTTTGGGCAGCCAGGGAGGGTGGATCGCCTGAGGTCGGGAGTTGGAGACCAGCCTGGCCAACATGGTGAAACCCCATCTCAACTAAAAATACAAAAAATTAGCTGGTGTTGTGGCGCATGCCTGTAATCCCAGCTACTCGGGAGACTGAGGCAGGAAAACTGCTTGAACCCGGGGGGTGGAGGTTGCGGTGAGCCGAGATCGCCCTATTACACTCCACCCTGGGCAACAAGAGCAAAACTCCATCTCAAAAAAAAAAAAAGAAAAGAAAAGAAAAAGAAAAAGAAAAAAAGGAGTAAGAACCAGTGAATGGGCATGGGAGGACTGATGATGGAGTGGGGCATGTATGTAGTCTGTAGGTCTGTATATGAGAGGAGGGGATTGACAGGATCCAGGAGGCAAGGTTGTATCCGAGAATTCAGAAACCTATGCCTGCTCTTTCCCCTCCACGTGGCCCCCTAAGGTGAGCCCTTCTTTCCTGGTCTAGCTTTGGGAACCCCAGCTCCGCCCATGAGCTCTGACCCCACCTCCTTTCCTCAACCACGCCCCTAGGCCAGACTCTAGTTGACCCCGCCTCAGGCCGCAACCCTTTGAGCCAGGCTCCAGTCCCTATTCTGTGGGCACATTCTAGAACCCCCTTCAAAGTCAGAGTCAGAAGTCAGAGGGTTTTGTTTGTTTGTTTGTTTGTTTTGGAGACAGAGTCTTGCTCTTTCTCCCAGGCTGGAGTGCAGTGGCATGATCTCGGCTCACTTCAACCTCTGCCTCCCGGGTTCAAGTGATTCTCATGCCTCCACCTCCTGAGTAACTGGAATTACAGGCGCGTACCACGCCTGGCTAATTTTTGTGTTTTTAGTAGAGACGGGGTTTCACCTTGTTGGCCAGGCTGGTCTCGAACTCCCAACCTCAGGTGATCCGCCCGCCTCGGCCTCCCAGAGTGCTGCGGTTACAGATGTGAGCCACTGCACCCCGCCCAAAGTCAGAGCTCTTTACAGGAGACTATAACATATAACCCTGGCCTCGGCCCTGACCAAGTCGATTCCAAACCCTTTCCTGCCTCCAGCCCTGACCCCACTCACTGAGGCCTGACCCCACTTCCTGAGACCAGTTCCATCCCTAAAGCCCTGGTCTCCCTCCCATCCCCAGGCTCCAGCCCCCACAGCCTTGGCTGTACCCCTGAGCTTGTCCAGGAATCCTGTACCCAATTTTATCCTCCCATTTAGTTCTAGCCAATTCCAGGAATCCGTGAGGTCCAGTTAGAGTCCAGTAACCCTACCTGAGCCTGGGCTCTGTCCTTACGCTTGAGCCTGGTCTTGAGCGGTGCCACTCTTATTCTCCAGGCCCCGCCCCAAACCCTGGCCCCGCCCCCTCAGCAGGTCAGACACCCACCCTCTAGCAGGTCTGGCCTCTTGAGTCTGAGACCCACCCCGAGCCCAAGCCCCGCCTCTGAGCCCCGCCCAACCCATTTTCCGTCCTCAGAGCATGTTCTCGCCAACGATGATGTTTCCTGTGACAATCCCTCTAACACCGTGCCCTCTGGGAGCAACCGGGACGTGGGAGCTGGGGCCGGGGACGATGCCCGGTCGGATGACAGCAGCAGTCGCATCATCAACGGGTCCGACTGCGATGAGCACACCCAGCCGTGGCAGGCTGCGCTATTGCTAGGGCCCAACCAGCTCTACTGCGGGGGGGTGCTGGTGCATCCACAGTGGCTGCTCACGGCCGCCCACTGCAGGAAGAAGTGAGTGGGAGTTCCAAGAGGAGGGCTGGTGGGGACGGAGGAAGTGGGGTTGGGGGCCATGGAGGTGAGGGCTGGTGGGGATGGGGAAGTGGGGTTGGGGAGGCATGGAGGTGAGGGCTGGTGGGGATGGGGAAGTGGGGTTGGGAGGCATGGAGGTGAGGGCTGGTGGGGATGGGTTGGGGATGTGGGAGCAGCAGGAGGTCGAGTTGGGGATAGGACTAAGGATGGAGTTTTGCGGGAGAGTAGGGTGGGAGGATGAGGTTGCGGAGGGGCCAGTGTTGTGGTAGGGAACAGGAAGGAGCTAAGGACGGGTTGGATTCGGGGTTAAGAGCGTGTAATTGTTGAATGGTTTGGGGTGGAGGTGGAATTGGGGTTAGGAGCGTATATTGGTCGAATGGTTTGGGATGGAGGTGGAACTGGGATTGGCTTTAGAATTGGGGGTGGGTGAAAATCGTGCTGGAGTGGAAATGAAGATGGAATGGAGATGGTGTTGGGATTGGGAACAGATACAGAATTAAGGGTGGGGATTGGAATTTGGGTTGGGGTTGGGGATGGTTGGATTTGGGCTCGAGAATGCATGTGTGATGGCTTCTGGGTAGCGAAAGGTTTAGGGTTGGGAATGAGATGGGTTTGGAATTGTGATTGGGATGGGGACAGGCATGGAATTGGAGACCAAGATGGAGTTGAGGATGGTTTGGGGACTGGGGGTGAGGGTGGGACTGGGGCTGGGGCTGGGTGTGGGGTTGGGATTGGCGTTGACATGGAGATAGAGATCAGGGCTGGTGGTGACCTGCCCCATCTTCCTCAGAGTTTTCAGAGTCCGTCTCGGCCACTACTCCCTGTCACCAGTTTATGAATCTGGGCAGCAGATGTTCCAGGGGATCAAATCCATCCCCCACCCTGGCTACTCCCACCCTGGCCACTCTAATGACCTCATGCTCATCAAACTGAACAGAAGAATTCATTCCACTAAAGATGTCAGACCCATCAACGTCTCCTCTCATTGTCCCTCTGCTGGGACAAAGTGCTTGGTATCTGGCTGGGGGACAACCAGAAGTCCCCAAGGTGAGTGTCCAGGTTCTTCTTGATACCAACCCATCTCTGCCACCTTCCATCTTTCTCCACCTCTCATTGTGTTCCTGTTTGACAGTGCACTTCCCTAAGGTCCTCCAGTGCTTGAATATCAGAGTGCTAAGTCAGAAAAGGTGCGAGGATGCCTACCCGAGACAGATAGATGACACCATGTTCTGCGCTGGTGACGAGGCGGGTAGAGACTCCTGCCAGGTGAGGACACCTCTCTCTTTATTCAGCAGATGCACACTGAGTGCCAGCTCAGTAACATGAACTTTGCCAAGTTCTGAGAATCCAGCCATCGCCAAGACAGTCAGGACCCCTGTTCTCACAGAGCTCAAACCCTAGAGTAGTGGTATTTAGTAGAAATAATGCTGAGCTGCTTATGTCATTTCCAGTTTTCTAGTAGGCACATTAAAACAAGAAGAAAAGGCCGGGCGCAGTGGCTCAGGCCTGTAATCCCAGCACTTTGGGAGGCTGAGGCAGGCGGATCACTTGCGGTCAGAAGTTCGAGACCAGCCTGACCAACATGGCAAAACTCTGTCTCTACTAAAAAAAAAAAAAAAAAAAAAATACAAAAATACAAAAATTACCCGGGCCTGGTGGTGGGCACCTGTAATCTCAGCTACTCAGGAGGCTGAGACACAAGAATCACTTAAACCCAGGAGGTGGAGGTTGCAGTGAGGTGAGATCACGCCATTGCACTCCAACCTGAGAGACAGAGTGACACCTTGTCTCAAAAAAAAAAAAAAAAAAAAAAAAGAAGGAAGGAAAGAAAGAGGTGAAGTTAACTTTAATAACCCAATGTATCCCAAATACAATCATTTCAAAGTTTAATTAATATAAAACAATTATGAATGAGATACTTTACATTCTTTTCTTGTTTTCATATCAAGTCTTTGAAAGCGAGTATGTATTTTATACTGACAGCACATCTCAATTTGGACTAGCTACATTTCAGGTGCTCAGTAGCCACATGTGGCCAGCAGTTACTGTATTGGATAGCACGGGTCTAGAGGGAAAGATCAAGGCTGTTTTGTATAGTTGGGCAGGTTGTGCACTGCATAAAGATACCACATCTAATGGGGGCACTCCATATTACAGACATCAGTTTTGGCAGTTTTCAGGCATGTGGTAGTGTCTTGTTTCAACAAAATCTGTCATATGACAGTTTTCCAGCAAGTGCTGGTAAAATATCTTGAGGAGGGAAAAGAGAAATCTGGTAGGTATTTTTGCAAGAGAATATTTAATACAAGGGATTTATTACAAAGCTGCTGGAAGGACTGGAGGAACAACAAGGTTAAAAAATAAAATAAAAAACTCTGTGGTCAAGAATCTGCATAAATAGGGCATATTCAGAGAGCAGTAAGGGTTAACCCCAAAATAAAACATGGTTTTAGGATAGTAAACAATAAGGGCAAATATTCAAAAAGGTGGTCAGGGGAGCCTCCTTGGAGAACTGGCATTTGAGCAGAGAATGGATGACACAAAGAAGCTAAACTTGTGAAGTTTAAGGGGAAAGAAAAGGCATGTGCAAAGGCCCTGAGGCAGAAAGGAGTTTGACTGATTCAAAGAAGAAAAGGAAACCAGTGAAAATGGAGAACAAAAGTGGGGGGAGCAGTAGGAAGTGAGGCTGGAAGGGTAGGCAGGGGCGAATGTTCTACCAGTATTTACTGGTCACCAACACAGAGCTTCCCTATGTTCTAATGGAAGCTGTATCTGCTGAGGAAGACAGAATTTAAAATCAAACTGTTACATCAACCAGCACCCTCCTTTGTATCCAGGCTCCCAAGGGATCTAGAGGGACTTAAGTTAACAAGCTCTCATTAGCAGGGTGTGCATTTCAACAGTAGATAGGAAGCTGAGGATTCAGGAGTACTCCAGTCCCATGGCTACAAAAAGCTCCCCCCAAAACTGTACAAACCTGACAATTGCAACAACTTCCCAGCTCTCCCAGTTTCTTCTCTGTGCCCTGGGTGTAGGGGTGGGTGGCAAGGGGGGAGACTTTTAACAGAAGAAAGCACATCTCGGCCAGGCGCGGTGGCTCATGCCTGTAATCCCTGCACTTTGGGAGGCCAAGGTGGGCAGATCACAAAGTCAGGAGATCAAGACCATCCTGGCTAACATGGTGAAACCCCATCTCTACTAAAAAAAAAAAGTAGCCGGGTGTGGTGGCAGGCACCTGTAGTCCCAGCTGCTGGGGAGACTGAAGCAGGAGAATGGTGTGAACCTGGGAAGCGGAGCTTGCAGTGAGCCGAGACTGCGCCACTGCACTCCAGCCTGGGCGATGAATGACACTCTGTCTTAAAAAAAAACAACAACAACAAAAAAAACACACACATCTCATTCAAATGGTAGCATTTAAAACTATTTAGCCTTTCTGTAGGCAAGGTTACTGTCTTGTTTTTCCAGACCTCAAGGTGTTTTTTTGTTTGTTTGTTTTTTCATACCGGTGTGTGGTCTGGGTGTGACCACTAAAAGCTGCAAGCAAGAAATAATAACAACTACAACAATACTAATACTAATAGTATAAAAGTAATAGCATCTGGCTAATTGCTGGACACTGTTTTAAGTAGTTTGCATGCCTCCACTCACGAACTCATTCACCTGTTATTATGAGCCCTATTTTACAGACAAGGAGCCAAGGCTCAGAGCAGTTAACTAACAGCCTTCCAAAAGAAACTCTGCAGAGGTATTAAGTTTAAAAAATAATGAGAGAAATGAAACCACAAGAAAGTTGAAATTTAGAGGTCCAGGCAGCTAAGCTGGTTTGCCTTGAAACAGTGTCTGCTACTGAGAAAAAGGCAAGTCTTGGCGTTCCTAATCATTGATTCCAGGACTCCCTAATTATTCACATTTTGCATGCATGTAAATAAGAAATGAGGCCGTGTGCAATGGCACATGCCTGTAATCCCAGCACTCTGGGAAACTGAAGCAGGAAGATCACTTGAGCTCAGGAGTTCAAGACCAGCCTGGGCAACTAAAAATAAAAATAAAAAAATACGAATTGTTTTTATTTTAGTAGATTTTATTCATACCGCTCACATAATTATTGTAGTATGTACATATTTATCTCTAACAGAGATAGATATTGCTTTTCTTTTCTTTTTTTTTTTTTTTTGAGATGGAGTCTCACTCTGTCACCCAGGCTGGAGTGCGGTGGCACCATCTCAGCTCACTGCAGCCTACGCCTCCCGGGTTTAAGCATTTCTTCCACCTCAGCCTCCCAAGTAGCTGGGATAACAGGCACCCACCACCATGCCCGGCTATTTTTTTTTTTTTTCCGTAGAGACGGGGTTTCACCATGTTCGCCAGGCTTGTCTTGAATTCCTGACCTCAAGTGATCTGCCTGCCTCAGCCTCCCAAAGTGCTGGGATTACAGGTGTCAGCCACCGTGCCCAGCTGGGAGATAGATATTTCTCTCTACCTCAAACAGAGATCCATTCAAGCTACTTTTCTTTTTTTTTTTTTTTTTTTTTTTTTTTGAGACGGAGTCTCGCTCTGTCGCCCAGGCTGGAGTGCAGTGGCCGGATCTCGGCTCACTACAAGCTCCGCCTCCCGGGTTCACGCCATTCTCCTGCCTCAGCCTCCCGAGTAGCTGGGACTACAGGCACCCACCACCTCGCCCGGCTAGTTTTTTGTATTTTTTAGTAGAGACGGGGTTTCACCGTGTTAGCCAGGATGGTCTCGATCTCCTGACCTCGTGATCTGCCCGTCTCGGCCTCCCAAAGTGCTGGGATTACAGGCTTGAGCCACCGCGCCCGGCCCCAAGCTACTTTTCATTTCCTTCATAAATATTAGCCAAGTGCCTATTTTACACCAGCAATGGTTCCAGGTGCGGTGGATATGGCATCGGGCAAAACAGACCAAAAACTTCCTGCCACATGGACCTCATGTTCCCCAAGTGGGAGACAGGCAATAAAGAGTAGATAAATATGTACTATTTTTTTTTTTTTAATTAGCTGAGTGTGGTGGCTTGCACCTGTAGTTCCAGCTACTTGGGAGGCTAAGGTGGGAGAATTGCTTGAGCCCAAAAGTTTGAGGCTGCAGTGAGCCATGATTGCACCACTGCACTCCAGACAGCAGCCTGGATGACAAAGCAAGAGCTTTTTGTCACAAAGAGAAAGAAAGAGAGAGAGAAAGAGAGAGAGAGAGGGAGGAAGGAAGGAAGGAAGGAAGGAAGGAAGGAAGGAAGAGAAAGAAAGGAAGAAAGAGAGAGGAAGGAAGGAGGTAGGGAGGAAGGAAGGAAGGAGAGAAAGAAAGGAAGAAAGAAAGAGGAAGGAAGGAGGAAGGAAGGAAGAAGGAAGGAAGGGAGGGAGGGAAGGAGAGAGAGAAAGGAAGAAAGAGAGAGAGGAAGGAAGGAAGGAGGAAGGAAGGAAGGAGAGAGAAAAAAGGAAGAAAGAAAGAGAGAGAGGAAGGAAGGAGGAAGGAAGGAAGGAGAGAGAAAGAAAGGAAGAAAGAGAGGAAGGAAGGAGGAAGGAAGGAAGAAGGAAGGAAGGAAGGAAGGAAGGAAGGAAGGAAGGAAGGAAGGAAGGAAGGGAGGGAGGGAGGGAGGAAGGAGAGAGAGAGAAAGGAAGAAAGAGAGAGGAAGGAAGGAGGGAGGAAGGAAAGAAGGAAGGAGAGAGAAAAAAGGAAGAAAGAAAGAGAGGAATGAGGAAGGAAGGAAGGAAGGAAAGGAGGGAAAAATGACTGTTGAAGAGCAGTGAGTATTATTATGGGAGGGTAATTATAGGGAGGTATGGGGAATTGAGGACGGGAAACACAAATTAGTCAGCGCGAATGGATTTCTACTGGGAGTGATTCTGCCCCCTAGGAGACATTGGCAATACCAGGAGACATATTTGGTTGTCACAACTGCGTGGAGGGTCATTACTGGCATCTAGCGGGTAGAGGCCAAGGGTGCTGCTCAACATGCTATGATGCACAGGACAGGCCTCCACAACAAACCATTATCCAGCTTCAGATGCCCACAGTGCCCAGATCGAGAAGCCCTCATCCAGGGGCTGAGAACTGTATTTTTGTAGAAGGGAGGTACAAGGATGGATTGGTGAAGAGTGAGGAAGGAAGGCGTGTGTCCAGTAAGAGAAATAAGGCCTGCACAGTCCGGAGGGGAGAGTGAGAGAGAAAGAGAGGTGGAGAGACACACGATGAGGGAGACTGGCTGGAACAGAAAGTAGAGACAAAGATTCGAGATGTGGAGAGGCAGGGTCACAGACACCCCGAAATGATGTATGGACAAGAGGAATCTGGAAGAGGAAGAGTGAGTGGAGACTGACAAATGGGGTCTAAAGGTTGAACTTGGAGGCTGGGCGTGGTGGCCCACGCCTGTAATCCCAACACTTTGGAGGCTGAGGTGGGCGAATCACTTGAGGTCAAGACTTCGAGACTAGCCTGGCCAACATGGTGAAACCCCGTCTCTACTAAAAAATACAAAAAATTAGCCGGGCGTGGTGGTGGGCGCCTGTAATCCCAGCTGCTTGGGAGGCTGGGGAGGGAGAATTGCTTGAACCCAAGAGATGGAGGCTGCAGGGAGCTGAGGTCGGGCCACTGCCCTCCAGCTTGGGCAACAGAGCGAGACTCTGTCCTCCAAAAAAAAAAAAAAAGTTGGATTTGGGGTGAAATGTTAATAACATTCTCCCTCTCTCTCTTTTTGCCTGTGTCTCCATCTCTGTCTTTTTCTGCATCTCTTCATCTCTGTACTTTCCATCTCTGTGTGTCTGTCTCCATCTTCTCCATCTGTGGGCATCTCTGGGTCTCTCGTGTCTCCTTCTGCCCACCTTGCCACATCTCTGCCTCTCTCGTGCCTCCCTTTCTCTCCCGCAGGGTGATTCTGGGGGGCCGGTGGTCTGCAACGGCTCCCTGCAGGGACTCGTGTCCTGGGGAGATTACCCTTGTGCCAAGCCCAACAGACCGGGCGTCTACACCAACCTCTGCAAGTTCACCAAGTGGATCCAGGAAACCATCCAGGCCAACTCTTGAGTCATCCCAGGACTGAACACACCGGCGTCCCTACCCGCTGCAGGGACAGCCCCAACACTCCTTTCAGACCCTCATTCCTTCCCGGAGATGTTGCGAATGTTCATCTCTCCAGCCCCGGACCCCGTGTCTCCTGGACTCAGGGTCCGCTTCCCCCACGGTGGGCTGACCCTGTTTCCCTAGCTAAACCCTGGGAACAATTTCCACAACTGCCCAGGGTGGGGGTTGCATCCCAATCTCCCTGGGGCACTTTCATCCCAAAGCTCAGGGCCCATCCCTTCTCTGCAGCTCTGCCCCAAATTTAGTCCCAGAAATAAACTGACTGAGAAGTGGACTCTGTGTGTGTCTCCTCCCTGTGCAGGGTGGCTGTGAAAAAGTCACATCTCCCTCTCCAGGCTCGTGTGTTTTGTCTATGAGGTCACTTGGGTTATGAGACACAGAGGTCCTGTCGGACTACTTTTCACCTTCTTCATAAATCTTGGCCAGGTGGCTATTTTTTAATTTATATTTATTTATTTATTTTTGTCTTGCAATAGAGTCTCACTCTGTCAACCACACTGGAGTGCAGTGGCACAATCTCAGCTCACTGCAACCTCCACCTCCCAGGTTCAAGCGATTCTCCTGCCTCAGCCTCCCAAGTATCTGGGATTATAGGCATGCACCACTACGCTCAGCTAGTTCTTGTATTTTTAGTAGAAACGGTTTCACCATGTTGGTCAGGTTGGTCTCGAACTCCTGACCTCAAGTGATCTGCCCGCCTCGGCGTCCCAAAGTGCTGGGATTACAGGCATGAGCCACCACCCCTGGCCCCAGTGGCTATTTTGCACCAGGAATGGCTCTAGGCACTGGGCAAAACAGACCAAAAAATTCCTGCCTTGTGGAGCTCACATTCTAGGAGTGGAAGACAGACAATAAAGAGAGAGATGATTGGGAGGCCGAAGCGGGCGAATCACAAGTTCAGGAGATCGAGACCAGCCTGGCCAACATGGTGAAACCCCCTCTCTACTAAAAATACAAAAATTAGCTGGGCATGGTGGTGCGCACCTGTAATCCCAGCTACTCAAGAGACTGAGGCAGGAGAATCGCTTGAACCTGGGAGGCGGAGATTGCAGTGAGCTGAGATCACACTACTGCACTCCAGCCTGGCAACAGAGTAAGACTCCATCTCAAAAAAAAAAAAAAAAAAAAAAAGAGAGAGAGAGAGGTGCCATAGCAGTTATGTAAGTAACATGAACGCAATGAGAGCAGGGCATGAGGCAAGAGAAGAAATGTCATGGGTGGGGGAGTCTCTGCATTGGATGATCAAGGAGGGAATGGGAGGCAGCATAATGCCTCCCTCCCACCTCAAAATGCCATCTTAACTTCTGGAGCCTGTGAATATGTTACCTTCTATAGCAACGGGGCTTTGCTGATGTCATTAAGGGTCTTGAGATGGGGAGATGATCCTGGATTACCTGGGTGGGTCCAGCGTGATCAGAAGGGTCCTTATAAGAGAGAGACAGAAAGATCAGAATGAGAGACTGGAAGATGATATGCTGCTGGCTTTGAAGACAGAGGAAGATGAGCGTGGTGACTCACACCTGTAATCCCAGCACTTTGGGAGGCCAAGGCAGGGGCATGGCTTGAGGCCAGGGGTTCAAGACCAGCCTGGGCAACATAGGGAAACCCCATCTCTAAAAAAAAAGAAAAAAGAAAAAGAAAAGTTTTTTAAAATTTGCCGGGAGTGGTGGTGTGTGCGTGTAGTCCCAGCTACTCGGGAGACTGAGGTGGGAGGATCACCAGAGCCCAGGAGTTCAGGACTGTAGTGAGCCATGATTGCACCACTGCACTCCGGCCTGAGCAACAGAGCAAGACCCCATCTCTAACAATAATAATAATAATGAAGATGAAGGAAGGGGCATGAGCCGAGGAATATGGGCAACCTCTGGAAGCAGGGAGGACATGGGAATGGACCCCCCAGAGCCTCCAGAAGGAACCAGCCCTGCCAACCACCTTGATTTCTGCCCAGTGACATCTTTAGGACTTCTGACCTCCCAAACTACAAGAGAATAAATCTGTGTTATTTTAAGCAACTAGACCCTCAGTGATTTGTTACAGTAGCCACTGTAACAAACACAAAGGGCCTCACTGAGGAGGTGGCATTTGAGACTGAGAGGATAAAGAGTGGCCAGCCCCAAGCAGGGTGCAGTGGCTCACGTCTGTAACCCCAGCACTTTGGGAGGCTGAGGCAAGTGGATCATTTCAGGTCAGGAGTTCGAGACCAGCCTGGCCAACATGGGGAAACCCTGTCTCTACTAAAAATACAAAAATTAGCCGGACGTGATGTCACACGCCTGTAATCTCAGCTACTCAGGAGGCTGAGGCAGGAGAATCACTGGAACCTGGGAAGCGGAAGTTGCAGTGATGCAGTGACCCAAGATGGCGCCACTGCACTCCAGTCTGGGTGATGGGGGGAGCCCCCCCCCAAAAAAAAAAAAAAAAAAAAAGGTGGGGGGCCAGCCCCTATGAACATCTGGGGCATTGGTGTTCCAGACAGAAAGGAGGTCAAGTGTCAAGTGCTGAGATGGGAGCATGGAGCATGCTGGACATTCTCCAGGAGCTGAAAGAAGACCCATAGAACTAGACACTTGTTTGTTTTCTCTGAGAAGTTGGGGAGTCATTGGAGATTTTTCAGCCAAATCTGGTTCATGCACAAAGGAGATCATTCTGGCTCTTTGTGGAGAACAAACTGGAGATGCTTGTTGGCCAGGGTAGAAATGGGAGGTGGGTTATTGTATTAGTCCATTCTCAAGTTGCTGCAAAGATACTACCCAAGACTGGGTAATTAATAAAGGAAAGAGGTTTGATTGACTCGTAGTTCAGCATGGCTGGGGAGGCTTCAGAAAACTTATGATCATGGCAGAAGGGGAACCAAACATGTCCTTCTTCACAGCACGGCAGAAAGGAGAAGGGCAGCGTGAAGGGGGCAAATTATAAAACCATCAGATCTTGAGAGAACTCACTACCGTCACAAGAATAACATGGGGGGACCGTCACCTCCCATGAGATCCCGCCCCCAGCACGTGGGGATTACGATTCAGGTTAAAATCCAAGATGAGATTCGGGTGGGGACACGGGGCCAGGCCATATCAGTTATCGAAAGAATATTCACGAATTTAAATTGGAAAATGTCAGAGCAGAAGCAGCTGCCTGTGGGATTTCTATCCCTTCTTCCCTAGTTATGTGTCTTTTACAGTCTCTTTCTTCTCATCCCACCTCTATTTTCTCATTACATTGACTGCCTGTTGCCTATCAAAGCATCTCCTGTCTCCCCCATAACTGGCTGCAGTTATTGGTTTTCTTAGTTCATAGCCCCTAGAGAAAAAAAAAATTTTTGGTTGGCTGTCCTAGGGTCAGATGCAGATTCTGTCTCCAGTCTGAAAAGCGGGTCCAGAGTGCAACATGGATCCCCCAGCCACCCCTTCATCCACAGCAGTGGGCAGGGCAGGGCCCCTAAGAAGGTTGTGGGCATGGTAGTCATTGAAATGGACAACACATCAACGGACAGATATTTCAGTCTTCAGCACTTTCTGAGTGACCTGTGTAAAGGTCATTTGTACTTTTACTGGACCTCAGTTTTTCTACCTGTAAAATGGGAGGATTGAAACGTAATGATCTCCACGTGCCAATCCAGCTCTAAGATTCCTCAAGGTACTCAGGGGTGGTTATAGAAAGTCACTCCAGGGAATACTCTGGAAACTGAACACTCTAGAAAAGGAATTACACTAGAAAATTTTGTCAGTAACAAAATGCCCAACTCAAAGTGGATTAAGAAATAAGCATGTGGGCCGGGCGCAGTGGCTCACGCTTGTAATCCCAGCACTTTGGGAGACTGAGATGGGTGGATCACAAGGTCAGGAGATCAAGACCATCCTGGTTAACATGGTGAAACCCAGTCTCTACTAAAAATATAAAAAATTAGCTGGGCGTGGTGGCGGGCGCCTGTAGTCCCAGCTACTCGGGAGGCTGAGGAAGGAGAATGGCGTGAACCCGGGAGGCGGAGCTTGCAGTGAGCCGAGATGGCGCCACTGCACTCCAGCCTGGGCGACGAGCGAGACTCTGTCTCAAAAAATAAAAAATAAAAAATAATAAAATAAAGAAAGAAGAAATAAGGATGTGTATTATTTCACATAAGAAGAAGCCCCAAAAGAGGGAGGTACTGCGGTTTGGTGATTCCTACATTTTGTCCTTAGGGACCCATCTTTTTTCTCTACTGCCCTCTGCATTCATTCATTCATCCATTTATTCAGCTCATGAGCACCTGTGAGAGCCAAGCAATATTATAGACACTTGGGATAGACGGATTAATAAAGCAGACACCAAACCCCTGCCTTCCCTCAGCTTATGTGCGGGCAGGAAGAAGAAAATATGTCAGCTTTCTCCTTCAGGCTTGTAATCTCGTGGCTGTAAAATGACTGCCACAGCTCCAGGCATCACATTCTCATGCACCATGACAAAAGGCAGGAAGGAGAGACTCTGCTGGCAGAGCTCTCTTCAGTAGGAAAGAAAGTCTTTTCCAGAGTCCCCCCACACCCCTGGATCTGTTCTTGGGTTGAGCTCAATGGCCACTCATTGGAGAAGGTCCCAATGCTGACACTCTAGCTTCAAGAGAAGCTGGGAGAGTGAGTTTCTGACATTTCTCTGTCACGTCTTATTCCTTACCAGCAAGGAAGAAGAGACAAGAAGTGTCTACCTGATGAACAGTCGACGATGTGAGAGAAGGACACATACATCAGAATGATACAATAATTGTCACCGTTATCTTCCCCTTTGTGTCCAGTCATTTACAAGTCCTCACAACTTTTTAGGGAAACATTCCAGAAAGGCTGGGGTGCCAGGGTGTGTGGTGTGGTGTGAAAATAGGGGCAGATAGTACTGGGTGACAGTTGTAATTCAATGATTTTTGTTTGTTTTTTTTGTTTGTTTTTTCTTTAGACAGAGTCTCACTCTGTCACCCAGGCTGGAGAGCAGTGGCATAGTCTCGGCTCGCTGCAACCTCCGCCTCCCCGGTTCAAGCCATTCCCATGCCTCAGCCTCCCAAGCAGCTGGAACTACAGGTGTGCACCACCACGCCTGGCTAATTTTTATATTTTTAGTAGAGACAGGGTTTCGCTATGTTGGCCAGGCTGGTCTTGAACTCCTGACCTCAGGTGATCCACCCACCTCAGCCTCCCAAAGTGCTGGGATTACAGGTGTAAGCCACCGCACTGCACCTCAATTTTTTTTAATATTAAAAAAAATCTAGATAGGAGCAGAATCCTAGCTAAGGAGCAGTCTTGAGCACGTTTTCCAAAA